TTTTTTATGACAGAGAGGATGCTGCGATTCAAAATTTAAATATCTACCTGAATACGTCGGCTTATGAAACAAATCAAACTCAATGCTCCCATTATTTATAATAATGGTGACATCTAAAAAATTCAATCGGTTGTCAACCCCCTCCTCCATGGTGAACTGCAATCTAGGATGGAAAGAATTGAAAGTGTTTAAAACTATTTTAAGCATGGAGGGTGGGGCCGCCAACGCGATATCGTCAACATATCTAAAATAAAATGGAAATGACAATGGAATCGCAGCAATCGCTCTACTCTCCAAATCTTGCAACGTGATATCCGCAATAATCGGTGAGAGGGGGGAACCCATAGGCGTGCCAAAAGTCTGTTGATAACATACATTATTAAACATAAAATAAGTCGAGTTCATAATAAAACGAATTGCCAATAAAAATTCATCTCGTGGAATAATACACTCTTTTTCAATATACCCCCATCTGTTAATTAAACTATCAATAGCCATATCCAATGGTACGTTGGTGAACAATGATGTAACATCTAGTGAAACTAGCTTCACATCACTATCCACACATAAACCATTTAATTTGTTCACTAATTGGAAACTATCAGAAATAGCCGAATCAGGTTTCAGAAATGCCTTATATATTATCTTATGTAAAAATTTTGCCAAGTAATAAAGAGGTGTATTCCTAGATGACACGATGACACGTAAAGGGCAATTCGGTTTATGCACCTTCGGCAGACCATACGCTCTCGGTAAAACCCCGTCCGTGCAGTTCAGGGATTTATATGTTGTTGAAGAAATGTAATTCTTCGTTTTCCATCTCATTAAAATTCCGTGTAATTGATTAATTAGGTTCCTAGTCGGATCTTTTTTAACAACAGTATAAGTATCCCGGTCAGCCAGCAAATCACACATTTTGTCCATGTACATATCTCTGTTCATCGCAACCGTGATATTACCCTTATCCGCCTTCATAAATAAAATATCGGGATTGTCTTGAATGAATTTACCCGTCAATTTGGAGGATGTAAAAGTCTTAGACGAGGAGCCTTTTTTAGGTAAACGTTTGATATCCGAAATGATCCACATAAAACGTCAGAGGAATAGTTTAAATTTACATAGCGACACTGATAAATTAAACGAGAATCTTGATCTGTTAATAGAAAAATTTACCAAAATCTAGCTTTGTGATTTTACATAGCCGGGTTTTTTTGTTAGACTTTTGATATGAGTGCCGATTAGTTTAGTTGTTTTTATTTTTATTTTTATTTTCATATTTTATTTTTATATTTGTTTTTTGCGTATATATGTATCGACTGTGTCGAGGTAGAATACCGCACAGTCGTTAGAGTGATGTGTCACGTGTAGCATCGTCTTCTCTCTGTTTTTGCTGTTGGGGTGAGTGTTCTTCCCGGTTCTTAATTTTTAATTCTTGTAAATTGTTCTACGTTTAATTTATACCATGTTGATTAGTGTTGGTAAGGGAGTCACTGCTCCGCTTCCTTCCTGACGATGGTCACCGTTAGGGAGACACTCCGACGGCCGGACGGTTTGAATAGGGAGGAGAATGATATTTAATTTATTTGCGGATTGTATGTATACGAGTTTTATAATTTTCTGATTGTACCGATTATCTTCTATTTTTGTTTCTTTGTATTTTGCAGCTACTGAAGAAGACCCGAAGTGGGTCGAAACGTTTAGAATTTAATAAATGAGTTTGACTTGAGATCTCATTTTAATTTATTAATTTTGTGCATGTCATCCGCATAGGCTCCGATTGCCGTCGAGATTTTATTTTTATTGTAACACAATAATTCGAGCCGAGATTAATAGTTTTTTTATATTAATTGAAATAAATTGTAATGTTAATTTAAACTAATGACAGACAGTATAATTTTTCATGTTAGATTGCAAACTAGTAAACAATTTGCTAGAAATGTAGCATGCAGCATTTTTAACAAGCTAGATTGCATGCAATCTAGCATGAAAAATTGTACGGCATGCTGCTAAATTTAATGTAATTTTTGTTGCTAGCGGATGAGTGCCAATCTAGATGGACACGCTTACGTGAAAGATATACAAGAGAGAAAAAGCAAAGACAAGAAGAGACAACCACTGGAAGTGGAGCCTCAAAAAGGAAAACTTTCGAATTTTTCAATAACATGCAATTTTTGGATCCATTCGTTAAGAAAAGAAGGTATAGTAAAAATTGTGAAGAAATTAGAATAATCAAGATTTCTTTTTTATATATTATCTTCTTAAAACTCTTTGTACTGCAAAAAAGCAATTTTTGATATTTTGTTTCAGAACAATGACCAACGTGCATGCAGTGACCAAAAACTCTCCATTGACTAAACGGTACATTTCTTTTCAAAAGTATGTAAAATATAAACATAATATTCATATAAATTATTCATATAATTAAAAGTGCTTCTACTTGCAAATTAGTAATGAAATCTCTATTTTCTATTTTTAGAAACTTTAGCTCCAATAACGAAAAAGAAAATCTCCCTTTGAATGCAAGTACCTTGATTGAGCAGAATTCTTCAAAAGTTAATATAGAATCATTAGAACAAAATCGATTTAATTCAAACTCAAGTGGCAGAAATGAAGTGAACATATCTTCTACAGCTACTTTAAGTGAACAGTCTTTTACAGATATAAATTCAGCACATCTAAGGTACATATTTTCACAAGCATTTTTATTTGTAGCATTTTTCATGTTGTAAAAATTTTGTTTTGTTTGAAAAAATTTATAATTTTTAGAGACTCAACTTCACTTTTATACAAATCAAGCGACGCGGTAGCCTCACCATACCAGTCTGATGCTTCTTCAGTCTCAGTATTAAGTGCCTGTGATTATGCGACAAAGAAAGGTTTAAATAGTAAAATTAAATCAAAAGGAAAATCGCAGCCGGATGTTGCAAATGCAATTTCCAAAGTCACATCTTTGCTAGAGAATAAATACTCTTCACCTGTTTCAACTGTTTCGTCATCTTTAAAACCGGAAGTAGAAGAAGATGTGGCTTTCTGTCAATTAATACTTTCTTCACTTACAAAGATGCAGGGGTGTAAAAAAGAAAAAAAGAAGGATATATTGCGCATTATATACAATATTTAAAATAATCGAAGTTCTTAAAAGACTGATACAATTCTGAGAACTGCCTTGTGAGAATTGTGTCATATTTCTGTTTTTGATTTTAATTTTTTGTTTTGTTCAGAGTTTCAATAATATAAAATGTATTAACGTAAATCTATTTAAGTTAATTTATCAGTTTAATTTTTATCTTGTTTATTATTTAGAGTTCAGAGTTTAAATATAAATAACTTCGAAAATTATTTAAAAACTTAGAAAAATTTGAAAGTTAAAAAATATTATATTAAAATAATATAAAATATACATTAATAGAAATAATATCAATTAAGTTTTAATTTCTTTAGTAATATAAGAATAATATGAAATGTGTCGGAGCAGAAACATAAGCAACATAGATTATATTCTGGACGGGTTCGTACTCCGGCGTAATATTATTAATATGTCGAGACGCAAATGTCGATTGTGCAACGTCTTTTTTTTAATTATTCAAAACTAGTAAGTAAGTGTTTAAAACTTGAGAGATGTAGAAAGTGCACTTTAATGTTATAAGTTAAAAGTGAGGAGATATGCAATAATAGATAAATCATTTTATTACGTTGATTTTTTATTAAACAGTGAGTTTAAATATGTAACACTAATAATGAATACGCAAACAGCTAACCTGTAATTAAACATTTTTTTATTTTCTGGATGAAGGTGGCAGCATAATATTATTTATTTATTATTAGTTTGGAAAATCGCTATCTCCAAGAAACAAACACAATAATTTAGTGTTGCTTTTAGGAAGATTTGTAAAACCTTCAGAAAGATTTAATGTTCCTTCTTGCAGTGCCAATGATTATCAGAAGTGATAAAAGTATCACTACTATTACTATTACGTATACGTAAATAACATTAAAATGTTTTATATTTTTTTAGAGACTGCGAGTATATGTAATGTATGTATGTATGTATGTATGTACTTACTGTGATGTATTATTATATGACACAAATTAATGTTTTTACTTTTATTTATGAAGCTTACATAGTTTATTTTTTGTACATGCATGTTTACATAATTATGTAATTTAATAATATAAAATTTATTAACATAAATAATATCAATTTCAGTTTTTTGTTTAAAGTTTTTTAGAGTTTAAAATTTAAATGTAATAAAGTATATCAATATAAAATAAAATATAATTGGTATTAAAATAAAAATATAATTTGTATTGAATATTTTATCATGGATCATCGTGATGCAGCCCTCTTCTAATATACTGATATTGCCATGGAACTTCACCTTGTGGCGTTAAAAAAGAATCAGCCAATGTATCTCTTTGTCTATATGCAACTGCAGTTGCATTATGCGTTGAAGTAGGAGGAATGTCTTTAAATACATTTTGAGTATATCGCCGCCACTCTCCAGGAATAACGTTACCTGTTGCATCTTCCGAATCAATAAAATTAGGAGGACAATATATTTTATTCTCCGTTTGCATAAGATCTTCCTCAAACTTTATATAATTATGTAAACATATTGTCGCCATGACAATTTTATCTATATATTTAGGGTGCATATTAATCGGTTTTCGATAAATTCTCCACCGTGAAGATAAGATGCCAAAAGTGTTTTCTATTGTACGTCTGGCTCTAGACAATCTGTAATTCAATAAAACGCTTGATAAGCATACATATATGTATATATATCTTATATAATAACGCTAATAATAAATACGCAAACTAACCTGTAATTAAATATTTTTTTTCTTTCATCATGTAATTTTCCAGCGTAAGGTCGCATCATAATACTACTGATGGGAAAACCGCTATCTCCGAGAAAAAAGCATGGCAATTTAACGTTGCTTCCAGGAAGATTTGCGAATCCTTTAGGAAGATTTAATGTTTCTTCTTGCAGTGCCGAATGATTATCAGAAGAAGTAAAATTTCCACCATCGCTATTACCATCATACGAACCTACATCGACTAATGTGAATCTATATCTGTGATCACATGCAGCCATCAATACAATACTAAATGTCTTTTTATAGTTAAAAAATAAGCTTCCAGAATTTGGCGGAGCTTGTATTTCCACGTGTTTCCCATCAAATGATCCAACACAATGAGGAAAATTCCAATTTTCCAGAAAACCAGTGCAAATATTTTTCCATTCTTCTTCTCTTGGTAGACGAAGGTAAATTGGTTGCAATATTTTTACTATTACTGAACAAGTTTCATGAATAATTTTTCGGACTGTTGACTCTCCACATCTAAAAGCTAGGGCAATAGACAATATTTGATCCCCAGTTGCTAAATATCTGCAAAAATGTCTTGATATGTATATAAAACAATATTACCAAATAAAATATTTGCAAAAGTAAATTTACTAGACATGTTTATTTTATAAATTTAACGTATAAGACGGGCAACAAGAGCCAAATCGCGGATGACAATGCGTTATCCTAACGAAACTAAATAATTTTTCGTTAGAAATAAATACCGGTGCACAAGGCACCAAATTTTTACTTGGACACGGCCAAGATTTTAAATATGAAATAATCTCATATTTTGAGATTTAATTTCAATACCCCTTTAACCCCCCTACGGAAAATAAATAAATGAATGCAAGAGAAAAATATAGATCCGAAAATCGCTGAATCGGGAATCGAACCCGAGACCTTTCGCTTGCCGGGCGACTGCTCTTCCAGCTGAGCTATTCAGATCCTTTCGATTCTATACTTTTCTCTGTTATATATATTAATGTTGGTAAACAAACGCATTTTTTAAGCCAGCGTGTATCAAATATAAGAGTTTTAACAAGGCTCTGTAATATAAATATAAATTTAACGTATAAGACGGGCAACAAGAGCCAAATCGCGGATGACAATGCGTTATCCTAACGAAACTAAATAATTTTTCGTTAGAAATAAATACCGGTGCACAAGGCACCAAATTTTTACTTGGACACGGCCAAGATTTTAAATATGAAATAATCTCATATTTTGAGATTTAATTTCAATACCCCTTTAACCCCCCTACGGAAAATAAATAAATGAATGCAAGAGAAAAATATAGATCCGAAAATCGCTGAATCGGGAATCGAACCCGAGACCTTTCGCTTGCCGGGCGACTGCTCTTCCAGCTGAGCTATTCAGATCCTTTCGATTCTATACTTTTCTCTGTTATATATATTAATGTTGGTAAACAAACGCATTTTTTAAGCCAGCGTGTATCAAATATAAGAGTTTTAACAAGGCTCTGTAATATAAATATAAATTTAACGTATAAGACGGGCAACAAGAGCCAAATCGCGGATGACAATGCGTTATCCTAACGAAACTAAATAATTTTTCGTTAGAAATAAATACCGGTGCACAAGGCACCAAATTTTTACTTGGACACGGCCAAGATTTTAAATATGAAATAATCTCATATTTTGAGATTTAATTTCAATACCCCTTTAACCCCCCTACGGAAAATAAATAAATGAATGCAAGAGAAAAATATAGATCCGAAAATCGCTGAATCGGGAATCGAACCCGAGACCTTTCGCTTGCCGGGCGACTGCTCTTCCAGCTTGGCCGTGTCCAAGTAAAAATTTGGTGCCTTGTGCACCGGTATTTATTTCTAACGAAAAATATTTAGTTTCGTTAGGATAACGCATTGTCATCCGCGATTTGGCTCTTGTTGCCCGTCTTATACGTTAAATTTATATTTATATTACAGAGCCTTGTTAAAACTCTTATATTTGATACACGCTGGCTTAAAAAATGCGTTTGTTTACCAACATTAATATATATAACAGAGAAAAGTATAGAATCGAAAGGATCTGAATAGCTCAGCTGGAAGAGCAGTCGCCCGGCAAGCGAAAGGTCTCGGGTTCGATTCCCGATTCAGCGATTTTCGGATCTATATTTTTCTCTTGCATTCATTTATTTATTTTCCGTAGGGGGGTTAAAGGGGTATTGAAATTAAATCTCAAAATATGAGATTATTTCATATTTAAAAAATCTTGGCCGTGTCCAAGTAAAAATTTGGTGCCTTGTGCACCGGTATTTATTTCTAACGAAAAATTATTTAGTTTCGTTAGGATAACGCATTGTCATCCGCGATTTGGCTCTTGTTGCCCGTCTTATACGTTAAATTTATATTTATATTACAGAGCCTTGTTAAAACTCTTATATTTGATACACGCTGGCTTAAAAAATGCGTTTGTTTACCAACATTAATATATATAACAGAGAAAAGTATAGAATCGAAAGGATCTGAATAGCTCAGCTGGAAGAGCAGTCGCCCGGCAAGCGAAAGGTCTCGGGTTCGATTCCCGATTCAGCGATTTTCGGATCTATATTTTTCTCTTGCATTCATTTATTTATTTTCCGTAGGGGGGTTAAAGGGGTATTGAAATTAAATCTCAAAATATGAGATTATTTCATATTTAAAATCTTGGCCGTGTCCAAGTAAAAATTTGGTGCCTTGTGCACCGGTATTTATTTCTAACGAAAAATTATTTAGTTTCGTTAGGATAACGCATTGTCATCCGCGATTTGGCTCTTGTTGCCCGTCTTATACGTTAAATTTATATTTATATTACAGAGCCTTGTTAAAACTCTTATATTTGATACACGCTGGCTTAAAAAATGCGTTTGTTTACCAACATTAATATATATAACAGAGAAAAGTATAGAATCGAAAGGATCTGAATAGCTCAGCTGGAAGAGCAGTCGCCCGGCAAGCGAAAGGTCTCGGGTTCGATTCCCGATTCAGCGATTTTCGGATCTATATTTTTCTCTTGCATTCATTTATTTATTTTCCGTAGGGGGGTTAAAGGGGTATTGAAATTAAATCTCAAAATATGAGATTATTTCATATTTAAAATCTTGGCCGTGTCCAAGTAAAATTTGGTGCCTTGTGCACCGGTATTTATTTCTAACGAAAAATTATTTAGTTTCGTTAGGATAACGCATTGTCATCCGCGATTTGGCTCTTGTTGCCCGTCTTATACGTTAAATTTATATTTATATTACAGAGCCTTGTTAAAACTCTTATATTTGATACACGCTGGCTTAAAAAATGCGTTTGTTTACCAACATTAATATATATAACAGAGAAAAGTATAGAATCGAAAGGATCTGAATAGCTCAGCTGGAAGAGCAGTCGCCCGGCAAGCGAAAGGTCTCGGGTTCGATTCCCGATTCAGCGATTTTCGGATCTATATTTTTCTCTTGCATTCATTTATTTATTTTCCGTAGGGGGGTTAAAGGGGTATTGAAATTAAATCTCAAAATATGAGATTATTTCATATTTAAAATCTTGGCCGTGTCCAAGTAAAAATTTGGTGCCTTGTGCACCGGTATTTATTTCTAACGAAAAATTATTTAGTTTCGTTAGGATAACGCATTGTCATCCGCGATTTGGCTCTTGTTGCCCGTCTTATACGTTAAATTTATATTTATATTACAGAGCCTTGTTAAAACTCTTATATTTGATACACGCTGGCTTAAAAAATGCGTTTGTTTACCAACATTAATATATATAACAGAGAAAAGTATAGAATCGAAAGGATCTGAATAGCTCAGCTGGAAGAGCAGTCGCCCGGCAAGCGAAAGGTCTCGGGTTCGATTCCCGATTCAGCGATTTTCGGATCTATATTTTTCTCTTGCATTCATTTATTTATTTTCCGTAGGGGGGTTAAAGGGGTATTGAAATTAAATCTCAAAATATGAGATTATTTCATATTTAAAATCTTGGCCGTGTCCAAGTAAAAATTTGGTGCCTTGTGCACCGGTATTTATTTCTAACGAAAAATTATTTAGTTTCGTTAGGATAACGCATTGTCATCCGCGATTTGGCTCTTGTTGCCCGTCTTATACGTTAAATTTATATTTATATTACAGAGCCTTGTTAAAACTCTTATATGTTTATTTTATTTTTTTATTTAACAGTATATGATAAAAAAGTAATTGAGTACCTCAGAGTTATGATCAATCGTTGTTCTGGACTAAAAGCTCTTTTGCTCAATTTAGTTAAAAAAGGCTTTGTCATTTGTAATAAATGATTAAACGTTTCTTTCCTCATTCTTGCATATCGAAAAAATACATCGATATCATTATATTTCAATTCGTTAAAGAGATGTTCAAAGTCCCCATACAGAGGACGTGCAACGTTGATGGGTCTCACCCACCATCTCCTATTTAACCATCTCTTTTTTCGATTCCTTTCTTCTAATAACAGCAATAAGCACAATTGTAAAAAAGATAAAATAAGAAAATCTTCTTCCATGTAATTCACATCCATGATGTCTTATGTCCAATTATGTAGAAGTTGAACATCTAAAAATACAAAAATATGTAACCTTACACGTAGACATAAAATAAGAAAAATAATTACTAATAATAAATTAAATCAATGATATTAATAACTTTACAATTGATTAAACTTTTACCATTATTGAAAGGATATCTAGACTTAATCTTCCAGGCTCTTCTTAAACTAACTTAAACACTGGTACTACTGATCCAATTATTCTTGGAATATAGTTGCACAAAAGAATTTGAAGAAGAAATTTGTAAATTATTGTCTTCAATAGAGATTTATGAAACTCATCCACTATAATTAGATTTATATGACACGCGCGTGGTGATGACACTGTCTTGAATTATCTTTTAATATAATTTTTATCCTAAACTTTTGATGTTTCACTTCACCTAGATATAAAATAAGAAAAAATAATTAATATTCATTCAATAATATTATTTATGTCTTTTAATTTAATAAAATTTACGGTATATCAATTTTATGTGATTGCGAGAGTGTAGCATTCGATGGTCAACTATATGGTTAGAATATTATAAAGTCTTATGCACAAGTTTGTGCGTTGACGAACGTTACGTTATGCTCCCTGCTTTATGCCTTATGCAAAAGTCTGTGCTCCCGCCTTAAAGCTTATCTTAAAGTCATGTACAACTGACTTGAAAACATAACCTTACTTTCTAATAAACACGATCTTATTTGATTCAAATAAGACCATCAAGATTTGATTATGAATCCGACTAAACTTAAGAAGAGAAAAGCATCTTAAAAGACTTTGTACTTAAGACAGTCTTAAATATAAGAACGGACTATGAAATACCGTCCTTTATTTTGAAAAATAAGAATTTAAATTTAAAAAGAGTTAGCTAAAATCTTTACTTTCGAAAAAATCACAGTTGTTTTCCGACATATTTGTTGACCCAAAATGTCTCCAAGTAATTTTATAATAAAATACTGCTATTGAGTGTCCGATAATAATTTAATGACACTCATTGGTCGTATACATGTATACGTATATATTCACAAATATGTTTTAGGCAGTGCAGCGCGTGGCCTTATATCCTCACTCAGCGGAATTCTAACTGCGAGAAAAGACGCCGCGTAGCGGCGAAGGCACGAATGAGTGCACGACTTTACGGACGGTTTTCCGCGAGCGCTTTCGCGCGCAGTCTTGTCTGGCGGTGTAGCATATGTTACAAGCGTTTTACTATGAAAATATAATTGTGAAAATATATATACGGATTGCTTTTTACCTAAAATTAGACCAGACCGGATTTCACATTGGATAAAAGAATATAAGTGAATGTTTAGATATCAATTTGGAAGCCTAGTAAACGAGAGTAGTTCATTCTACATTTGCATGTGTACACGAAAATGTAGGATGAGTTATTCTCATTTACTTTATAATCTCATTGCTTTATAATCATTACTATATTTGCAAAATATAATTTATATATATAAATTATATTATAGAAATATATGTATTTATATTAAATTTTTTATTTGCTATTATACTTAAGTAATAACTCACTTAATAAAGTAATAACAAATAAAAAAATGTATAATTTAATTTTATTATTATTCGACACATTTGGATAAAAAATGAGAAATTCTAGAACAAAGGAACATTTTTTACTTACAGACAAGTGACGCAGTTTACTAAACTTATATTTTATTAACGCTCGTATTTTCATTTTCTGATAATAATTCTTTCTAATTTGATACTAGATTTGTAATTAGCAGAGAAGTGCGTATATAAGTACAAATATGTTAGAAGAAAATCTGCTCGAAATTCACAGTACAAATACTCTTCTTTCTTCTGCAAGCAAAGGAAATGTTATCACTTTATCTTCTTATTTATACTTCACATTTTACATGGTAATTTTTTAAAACAAGAATTTAATATATTTGATAAATTAACAAATGTTGTTTGTAAACAAATCAATTATAAATTTCCAAAAAGTTATTGCATGTTTAGTTCAAACTCGAACATATAAAATTACGGAATATTAAAAAAGATATATTGAGATAAATAATTATAATATAATAAGAAAATATATAAATTAAGTAACAAAAAGCAAAAATTATAAATAGTGTAAAGTTTAATAATTTTATAGTTTAATATTTTAATAGTTTAATCATTTATATATATAATTTTAATAGTATATAATTAGTATATTATATGTATATACATATATACATATATGTAGTATAAGTAAAATAATTTATATAATAAGTGTAGTAATTTAATAATTTATTGTTAATTATTTTGTAAATATTGTTACGTCCGCGACCACCCTTCTGATTATCTCGAAGAAATGTCGCGCGCACTCAAACTCTCACACGCCGGAAATGAATACACTCGCGTAGTAAAGCAATAAACTTTAATATTAGAAGCCAATAAACCGTAGCGATACAATATAATATTACGCGCATTAATCCTAATGCAAATATATCCGCCGATCAGCTGTCAGAGGATACGTCCTCACCGCACGACAGCTAGACCAGAACAAAACGCATCGATAGACATAAACAGCTTCTTAGCGACGATAGAAGATCCTGATAGAAGACCCTGATAGAAGACCCTGATAGAAAATCCTAATAGAAAATCCTGACGATCGTATAATACAGGGATGTATCGTCAAACCGGGCGGGACACGGACATAACACTTGCCCCCTCCTCTTCAAAATTGTCGTCCCGACAATTAATTCAATAGGACAGATCCAGAACAATTCCTTACAGGAACCTCGCCGAATTACAGTCCCCGATGTGACTCCATGTTCTCCCCGAACTGCTGTTCCAGGTACAACGAACTGCACACCATCTTGGGTCCAATCGACTTCATTGATTCCAGGAATTTTCCTCAAAGTCCCAAAAATTCTTCAGGCAAGAGAGGGGTAACATTCCGTGGACCCAACGCCCTTTTAAAGGACTTCTCAAGCCTCTGCCTCGGCATTTGCCCAAAGCCCCCGGGAAAAAACCACGGATCAAAATAACCACGGGGTGAGGCAGTCTTCGTCCCTTTTTGTGAGGTAGTCTTCATCCCTTTTATCTCTCTCATCTTCATCAGGTCCTTTTTCTTTTTGTTGCCAAATAAGATTTTCCTGAAAAACAAATCTTACGGCAGAAAAATTGAAGAATACACAATTTTATTAAAAGTACAAGTAACCTATCGTGAGTTCCGATTCTAATGCAAGTTTCGACTATAAAAAGGAGCTAATCTATCCGAATGCACAATTTTCCTTTCAGAAATCTCTCACTAAGAATAGAAACATCGGAACTATTTTAAATCGACAAATTCTTCCGTCCAAATTTCCCTTATAATAAAAATTATTTCTAGTTTTACTTATTCCAGCACATTGTGAGCTTATATCCGAGCTCAAAATTATTGTGTAAAACATTGTTTGATTCGCTATTTCTACGTGTGGTGTTGTTCGGAATTCTATTATGTATGTGACTTAGCTGGTTATTTTCCGATGAGGCGAGTCTTTCCTGTAATCGGTGCAGTTCCTCGTCCCGCTGTTGCAGCATCGTCAAAAATTGAGCCTGCTGTTGTGAGCGTTCCTCTCGCAATTCTCTAATTTGTTCCAACGCCTCCTGTAAAGCGTCCACGCGCTCGGGAGTTTCCTCGCTGTTAATCGCTCAAAGTGGAGTCGACTGTTGTTCTTCGCCGATCATTGCTCGTGACGAAGCTTGCGAACGAGTAATCCTCGGAGAATGCACCAAAGACATCGTAACCTTTTCACCGCACACACACACGAAATATTTGTCCTTTTTTTACTACGGTTCGTGGCTCGTGTTATGTCCGAACGATCCCGGACGAGCCCCCAAAATGTTACGTCCGCGAACACCCTTCTGATTATCTCGAAGAAATGTCGCGCGCACTCAAACTCACACACGCCGGAAATGAATACACTCGCGTAGTAAAGCAATAAACTTTAATATTAGAAGCCAACAAACCGTAGCGATACAATATAATATTACGTGCATTAATCCTAATGCAAATATATCCGCCGATCAGCTGTCAGAAGATACGTCCTCACCGCACGACAGCTAGACCAGAACAAAACGCATCGATAGACATAAACAGCTTCTTAGCGACGATAGAAGATCCTGATAGAAGACCCTGATAGAAGACCCTGATAGAAGATCCTAATAGAAAATCCTGACGATCGTATAATACAGGGATGTATCGTCAAACCGGGCGGGACACGGACATAACAATATATATACATATATCTATATATATAAGCACCGTCTGTCTGTATGTATGTACGCGAACTACTTCCGCATTTGTGGACCGATATTCGTGAAACTGGTACCAAAATGTTGCAAATTTTTTGGGGGTGGCTGCTGTGGGGTTTTTTTTTTAATTTTTTAATTTTTTTTTTTTCTACAGAGGAGGGTATGTTTAATCTTTTTTTGCAATATTTCTGAACACATGGTATCAAAATGTTGCAAATTTTTTTGGAGATAACGACGATGCGGTTTTTTTAAGTGTTACACCCCCACCCACGCACCCACCCACGCATCCACCCACGCGCATGCGCATTTATGGACCAATTTTCACGAAATTAGTACCAAAATGTTGCAAATTTTTTTGAGAAAACTACTGGTTTATTTTTTTAAGTTTACCCCTCCACCCACGCACCCACCCACGCAATCGTATATTTATGAACCGATTTTTTTTAAATTGGTACCTCTTCCGGCTCTTGCCCATCGAGCTTTCTGTTTTACTGCAAAAAATGATTATATTACATAATATTTATTTATAATATTATATTATTATATATAATATTGAGGAGGGAGAGGGAGAGAGAGAGAGAGAGAGAGAGAGAGAGAAAGAGAGAGAGGGATTAATTTAATCTATATATATAAGCACCGTCCGTCTGTCTGTCTGTCTGTCTGTCTGTGCCCGAACTACTTCCGCATTTGTGGACCGATTGTCTCGAAATTGGTACCAAAATGTTGCAAATTTTTCGGGGGTGGCTGCTGTGGGTTTTTTTTTTAATTTTTTTTTTTATTTTTTTTCTTCAGAGGAGGGTATGTTTTTGCGAAAAAATTTTTTTTTTGCAATATTTCTGAACACATGGTATCAAAATGTTGCAAAATTTTTGGAGATAGCGACGATGCGGTTTTTTTAAGTGTAACACCTCCACCCACGCATCCACCCACACGCATGCGCATTTATGGACCAATTTTCACGAAATTAGTACCAAAATGTTGCAAATTTTTCTGAGGAAACTGGTGCTTTATTTTTTTAAGTTTACGCCTCCACCCACGCAATCATCCACGCGCGTGCGCATTTATGGACCAATATTTTTACGAAATTGGTACAAAAATGTTGCAAATTTTTTGGAGATGGCGACGATGCGGTTTTTTCAAGTGTTACACCTCCACCCACGCACCCACCCACGCGCATGCGCATTTATGACCA